TCAGACAAATGAACTTTATCAACTTGCTTTGGTGGCATTCTGCTTGCTGTCTGCTTGGGTGAGTACTACCAACACAATCATTTTTCCATAAGATCTGTTCTTGTGTTTTTTTGCTCCAGCCTGAAATAATTCCCACTTCTGACAAATTAGTTTAAATATTAATAATAATTTGTGCATGTACATCTATGCATAAACAAATGCTGGCTTTTAATAGAATCCAATTTATGCTGGCTTTTAATGTTGTCAATTCTGAAATATTTATTTTGTGTATGGCTTGTGTGCTAATGTTTCAATTGCATCACCAAATTTGGGATATCTTATAGTGTCCATTTTATTAAATTTTTTATTATTATCTTATTTCAAGTCTTTAATGTAACACCAATATGCTATTCATTTGGACCATTGGTTTGAAAGTTGAGCTCTCTGTTGTAATGACATATAGAATTATGACAAGTGTTATTCTGAAGAATTTTTTGTAGTTTATGTACTAGTTCAATGTCACGAATTTAGTTACTCTGTTACTTGATATACCTGTGGTTGTTTGGACTATTTGTCCTTATGTGGGTGGCTACTAGTGACATACTGTAAAATTTCATATTTTGTCATATCGATCCTAAGTGAGTTTGGGGTAAAGAACAATTGTTTGTGGGAATTTGTTTTACTGTATCAGCGTATCCTTTAAGTGAGAGATTACTGTTGGATAATATGTTGCTATTTTAACATGAAGGTTTCACTCTTTGGAGTTGGATGTAATTGAAAGTCGGTGTTTCAGTGTTTGGTTTTTTTTTTTTTTTTTTTTTTTTTTTTCTTAAACATAGAATCAGTGAATATCGGTTGTGCTCATTTATGCTGTTTACGGTCTTTCCAGTGCAGTGATAAGCTTGGTCTTAGTCTAGAACTGGGATCATTTGTAGCTGGGGTCATGATCTCTACAACGGACTTTGCGCAGCACACTTTGGACCAGGTATGTTTCTGTATATGAACCAGAATTCATTTATTCGGATGTAGTTCATTTATAAGCTTGCCTATGTTGGGCTACATTACCAAGAAAAATGCCTGTATTCAATTCAGCTGTTGTCAATTCTGAAAACAGATAAAATTTCAGAGTCACTATTGTAGAAGCTTCTGCAATAATTGTCTGCTCAACTAATTTGCTATTTATGTTACTTACTGTTTGCTTCTGAGCTATATTTGTACATGAAGCCTTTTTGAGCAGTATTTGTTTCTTAAATCGTATATTGCAGGTGGAGCCAATTCGTAACCTGTTTGCTGCTCTTTTCCTTTCCAGCATTGGAATGCTGATACGTGTGCAATTTCTTTGGCTTCATGTGGATATATTGGTTGCATCAGTTATTTTGGTTGTGGTGTTTAAGACATCTGTTACGGCTGTGATAACTAAGGCTTTTGGTTACAGTATCAGGACATCTCTTCTTGTAAGTATAGCTTCTGAAGTTCTTTTTATTATAAAGGTAGAGAGCTTGCACAAAATTGACTTATGTTGAAATGACACAAACAGGTTGGATTGTCACTTGCTCAAATTGGAGAATTCGCTTTTGTTCTTCTAAGCCGTGCTTCAAATCTTCACCTTATCGAGGTATTCTCTTTTTTATAAAAAACATAAGGTTTGTTTTTTTGCATCGTATATTCATATCTTGAAAATCAGCTTGCTTGGCTATTTTGGGGACATGTGTGGCTGGAAACTGGTAATGGATGATTAATCTGTTTTTTGTTCTCTATTCTGAGAATCCCTTGCATAAATTTGGTGTTTATCTAGAGTATATTTAAAATGTTGCCAATGTGGTTGATAGACAATTATTCTTGTTAAGGTTGGGGCACTCCTTGTTTTCTGCAAAATATTTTCCATTTTTCAATATCATTTTCTATATAAATAAAAAACGCTTTCGCTGTATCTGTTTTCTTTGATTGTTTGGCAAAATCAAGGGCTTTGCAACACTATCACAGTGCTATTTGTTTCCTTATATTCCTTTTTGAAATGTGGTGGGTATCTCTAGTACAATGCTGACACCAAGAACGGTTAGAAGTATTCCAAATTTGTGAAAGGTCTTTCTAGTATTGAGCTCTATCCTGTGTTTGTTCTTAATTTATGAATGATCCTGCTTTTTTTATCATTAAGTTTTTCTTTGGTGGCAAACTTGTTTGTTAGTTTGAATGGTGAAGATTAAGGTTGTATACATAATGAATTTCCCAAGCCCTTGCAGCAATAGTCTATTTTGTGCATGTTTTGTCTGATTACTCTGATAGCATTTGTTCAGTGCTGCATTGCCTCTTTTGCTTGGTGTGGTATTTCCTAGAGTGCTACTTGTAGTTTCTGCTAGGCTACATTGGTAGAGATAATAATGCTAAAAGCTGGATGCATCAAAATGAGTTTGTTTATTTCTACTCATTTCTTTTGGGGCTGTGCCTTTTCATCCTCCACTTGGGAATACTCCAGTTTTTTTTCTCTTTTATTTCAGTAAAGGTGGCTAGCAGCAACTTTCCTCCTGTATAGTTATTTTTTAATGCGACTTACAGATTTTTTATTTTATTTTTATAGGGGACAATGTATCTTTTACTTCTTGGAACAACTGCTCTTAGCTTGGTAAGCTTTTTCTGATAACATTTACTGTTACTTTTCCTGATGATTATTTACAGTGCCTAAAAAGCTTGTCTAGCTTTTACAACCTAGTTCTGCAGCTAAATCTTGTTTTTACTGAAGGTTACCACTCCTATCCTGTTTAAATTGATGCCGGCTTTGACACATTTGGGAGTTCTTATGCATTGGTTCCCTTCTGAAAGCAGCATACCAATTGAGGTTCTCTCTCTCTCTCTATCTCTCTCTCTCTCTCTCTCCAGTCAAGGTCTAGAGAGTAACCTTTATTTGGGCTGAGGACCTGTTTATATCATACCCTTCACTAAATGAATCTTCCAAAGTTAAATTGATTGCTAATTTCATTTTGCATTTTGCTTCCTTGTTCTCTTAGCTGCAGGAGAGAACTCCAATGATCGATACACGCAATAGAATGTTGTGACCTTCAATTTGTACCATCGTCAAAGCATATTAATGGCCTAAAAGAAGTGGCTTTGGCTGTAAAATTCAGAGTGAAGCTTGTGATGAACCTGCATCATGTTAACTTTGACAGAACCTGATAGTTGGGACATGGATGTATATATATTGTTACACAAATTTTGGATTGTGTACATATGTTTCCTCACGCTGCGCTTGTGGGTCTCGGGCGATTCTTCAACGAGTGCAAAAAAATTGTCATTATCATTGATCTTAGTTACTGTACACGACCTAGGGATAGACCAGGAAAGTTTGAAGTGTAGAGCTTTTGTAGTACAAAGTATATTGGAAGTTTTGTTTCCTCCATAAGATTCTAGTTTTCATTGTAACCTTAATTTAAACTTCAATATAAATGAATACAATGCAAATTCTTTTCTGTGAATTTATTTTCAGGAGCAATTTGTTGTCACTTATCAGAGAGAGCAATAATTGCATCAATTTATTTTTTATTTATTTATTTATTTTATTTTATTTTTTATAAAGTAAGGAAATTCATAGGAAGACTTTATGCATAAATAATTATAGTGAAAAATGTCGTATGAAATAGAGTTAATACAAGGGACACTCTAATTCTATTGAGTGTATGAAATATGGAATATATGTCCATCGTTAAGCAACATGCGATTAAGTGATCTAATTGCCATACAATTTTCCCACTAGACTTGGGATGTGTTGGTAAAAGAACTAAGATAAGAAATTAAATGAACACAAGAATATTTAGAAGACTTTCCTCCCGAGTGAAACAATTAAAAGCTTAGATAAATATACTCTCAAAATAGATAAGACAAAATTAACCGGTGAAAGTATCATGTACATCAATTAAATCTACTAATATGGTGAGATTTCTAATCTCTTATAAACCCTGGCAATGACTTCATAACAAAGCTGTAATTAGGGAAGTAAAGTTTGTATTCACAAGGAAAAAGGAATCTTCTAATGTATGTTAATGAAAGAAACACCTAACGAATCAAAAGTTCGAAGTAACAATAATGGGGAAGGTATAGGGTTCAAATAGTAAGTAAACTAATTAAACTAAAAATAATGAACAATCGAGTGATGAAAATTAGGAAATCATTTCAATTCAACTCCCTTGAATATTTTAAAGTAACAATTGTTGGTCAATTTAATATCAATCACAGAAATCACTTCAATTAAACTCCCTTGAATATTTTAAAGTAACAATTGTTGGTCAATTTAATATCGATCACAGAAATCACTTCAATTAAACTCCCTTGAATATCTTAAAGTAACAATTGTTGGTCAATTTAATATCGATCACATAAATCACTTCAATTCAACTCCCTTGAATATCTTAAAGTAACAATTGTTGGTCAATTTAATATCGATCACATAAATCACTTCAATTCAACTCCCTTGAATATTTTAAAGTAACAATTGTTAGTCAATTTAATATCGATCACATAAATCACTTCAATTCAACTCCCTTGAATACTTTATTGCGGAATCAAAATACCCAATTTCTCAATAACACAAGTTATTAACAAAGAAAAACATTCATCAATAACCCTGGCTATCATACAAACCAAGAACACACTCAATTTCAGTTTAATAGCCACATTAAGAATAACAAAACCAATAAAGTATGATGAATTCAACACAAGTGGTTGCAAACAATTTCTTTCCTTCTATTATTAATCAAGAGAAACGAGATTTAACAATTAAATGCTGCTTTTCACCAAAAAAAAAAAAAAAAAAAAAAAAAAAAAAAAAAAAAAAAACAATTAAATGCTGCTACTTTGATAAGAAAGTTTGAACAATTACGGATTCAACAATCACATCTAGCTAGCAATCAAACGATATAAATCTCTAACTAGTTGATCAATCCGGAAAATAATAAATATCAATCATATAAATGAGAGTACAGGAATAATTAATATTCAAGAAGGAATAAAAGAAGAGATATCTCACAACTATATTAATCAAAAAGCTTCAATTTAATTGATCCAAGAAGAACAAGGTTTAGTTCTCCATGAAAGTTGAGAGAACTCCTCAAAAATATGAACAACTCCTTAACCTCAAAGCTAAATAATTGAGTTCTTATATACTATCCTCCAAAGAAAAATAAATAATACGTAGTAGATTATAAGGCAAAATAAACTAAAACGACCCAAATATTTTAAAGTGGCTAAGGGGTGAAGATTTTTGTGTGTTCGTTGTTTTGGTTCGCTTCTCTTTGATTTGACTTGAGGACGAGTAAGAATTTGATATATGCTACTGTACTTTATAGTGCATGAACATGAGTTTTTATGGAGGCAACAAACAGTGCTAGCTTTGGGCATTAACTAAAGGGAGGAAAGCAAAGGAAGGAGGAGGCAACAAACAGTGCTAGCTTTCGAGGGTTTAAAAATGCCGGGACGACTTCGCTTCCGTTTTGGGAAACCAGAGGGTACATGTTGCCTAATTACCTTGCGAGACCGCAGCGTGTATATAGAACTAGTACTTGTACCAGTAGAAGTACTAGCAGAAAGGTCACCACTTTTTCCACCTCCTCCTTCTTCAATCCACGGCATCATTCTCACCTTTTTGCATAATGGAATAAAGTACAACAACACAAATAATACGAAACAACCAGAAGGATATCATAGGTATGTATGTATGTATTTGTATAGATATTAATTTACTTATATACAAACATTGCATAGTGAAAATATGTTAATAACTTCATTGTTTATAAGGTGGGGTGCCCTCAGTTTTTGGCATGAAGTAGACCACCATAGTCTTGCATTGCCATTTATATTGGATTCTTCACTCTCAATTAAACCTGTTCAATGGGCCGGACAGGGCTTTATCTAAAATGGACCGGGCCGGGCCAAGTTTAATCCAAAATGGGCCAATATTGTCCATGGGCCATTAAGCCCGACCTGGCCCGGCCCATTTAAAATAGACAGGTGAATTGAAGTAATTTTGTCAACTGCTTATGCCATTCTATAACAAATGCTAATGTGTTTCAAAGTGGATTATATAAATATTTTGAATTACAAAAATTCAACATGGGACACCTGAATAAAAACGAAGGGAGTAAAACACTATTCATGCTCAAGCAGCCTGACTTCAGATTGAATGTAATTCAAGATACACAAGTTTTAACCATTTTTATACTAACAAATGGCATCCAATCTATCAACTATACACCTTTACATCAAAACCAAGATCAAAACAAGTAATAGCAGTGTCATCGAACAAATGATGAGCCTTGAACTGGAAAATTGAATCACAAAAACTAACTCTAGAAACTCAATTCATTCACAAAGACCGAGGAATTATATACTAGGCCAGCGTTGGCATTGGTCACTTTCGAATGTTAAGTTCCTTCGCAATATCTCTTGTTAGGCTGAATTGCATAGTGCTGTGCCAAGGAAACAAAGTTATGATTATAATATGCGAATAAATATTGGATTGAAAATAACGAAGTTATGATTATAGTATGAAAATAAAAAAAATAGCTACTCCATAGTTAAAACTTAATTTGTAATATGCAAATAAATATTTACTACTCGATCTATGATTATGAACAATGTCAGTTACAACTATATTTTGGGTCATTCATTAAGGCCAACATTGAACTATTTAGCGTAAATTATGGTAAAAATTAAATTTATGATTAATGAATCGAGTAATGACTTAGTGGTAAAAATTGATATTATTAATATCATATAATTGCTTATATGGCGCTTGTCAATGGATAGGGTGAAAAGGTTTGATAATGTGGCTAAATAAGGAAAAGAAAGTAACACATGGAGGATTGGAACTCCTCGCCTTTGAGTTTTAATAATGCTATGTAATATTGATATCAACACATTGATAAAAGTAAATTATTAGTGATGAAGAGGTTAAGGATTCAAGCTTTGATATCAAGCAGTTATAAAATTTCAAATAATAAAAGCCAACTAAATAATGTAACTCAATTTCTTAGACTAATTAAGCCCAAATAAATGTGGCATAGTACTATGTAGTGTAACTCGTCCTTTAATTTTATTATACATCACACACTCAATTATAGGCAGTGAGACATTATGAAGTAACATAATTTTCTACAGAAAGTAATTACAAGAAATATTTTAATTTATTTTATGTTAACTTTTATTATACTCCTCGATCGTGCATTAATAATTTCAATACTTTAATATAATCATTAGATAAAACCCATTTAAATGCATCGATCACATGTTTAATTAACAATTTTAATATAATTTACTGATGCACTACATTTAAAAACCTTGTTTCATGAGACATTCTAATAGAAGAAAAAAAAAATCATTTAATTAATGCATTACACATTTAGTAATTAGTATTGCAACGACATGCATGCATAGACAAAACTCAAGCTTAACAATGATTAAACATTTTTTACAATTAGATAATGACATTTAAATGTGTGATTTAGGTAAACATATAAAATACAACCTTGATTATTATTTATGAAACAATATTATAGAAAAAATCCAAAATAAATAAATAATTCCCCCATAAAACAAAAGGAAATAGGAAAGAATTTAATTGATTGCTTCCTTTCATCTCCTAACAAGAAAGCTAATCTAGGAGTGCAACTTTTGACAAAACAAAGCATCAAAATATGGATATACATGCATCAACGTGTTCTTTCTTCCACCAATCTTTCTCCCTCCTAACTTCACCACCTCCCATTCTTCCCCACTTGAAATTTTCTCATCACTTGTCTATTCTCATTTATGTCTATTTTTTGTACGTAAAATATTTATTTCCTTTTACATAAAATAACTCCTTGTTTCTTTAAAGATTGCTCCATTTTTTTTCACGTATTAAACTATTCTTTAAAGATTACCCCATAACAGTAATGTATAAGAAGAACACAGCTTTAATCTCACAAACATTACTTAAAAGTTTCATTAGTTTTTTGTCTAATTAAATTCACTCGGCCAAAACTTAATAAATTACTACCTCCGTTACAAGTTATGTGCAACGATTTGACATAAAGCAGAGAGAGAATGTCTAATCGTTGCACATAACTTGTAACGGAGGTAGTATTTAAAAAATGGCTATAGGGCAAACAATCGAGAATGAAGAGCATCAAACATAGACAATTAGCAAACGAGTAGCAACGTCACCATATATATTTTCCCCCACAAATCCACGTTATCCTAATATTGTAAGTACTACGTGTATTTTTTACGTACTCTATATATATCCATATTCCTTGAATTTATATAAATACATACATAAAAATGAGACATATTTAGCTCTATTATTCATATCCTCAAAAAATAAAAATTGTTTTATCTTATATTATACCTTGATCATGGCTCAACCTGCTACTTTGCCTCTTCTTCCTCTTTCTATTTCTACTACAACAGGAAATAATAGCAACCTAGGTTGGTTTATTCTTCTTATACATACTTTGATATAAATGAATTAATAAATTTATAATTATTATATTTTGTTTTTTGATTTATGAAATAACTAATACTAAAGGGACAAAACTAAAGAAAAATAATTTGGGTGTTATGCAGAAGAAAGTGATGAAGAATTGTTTATGGTGCCGGATATGGACACGGGAGAGGAAGAGGAAACAAAGATGATAAATCAAGGAAGCTTACAAAGCTCTAATGGTAACAACAATGGTGGCGAAGTAGCGCCTCCTAAGCGTAAAAGAGGCCGTAATCCTGTTGATAAGGAGTATAGAAGACTTAAGAGGTTTGTTAATAGTTAATAATTTGTTGTATTCAATTTGAGTCATGATTTATTAATTTTATTTTTTTTTACTTAATAACCAATAATGATTTAAGTTAATTAATTAGTTGGAAAATAATTAGGTTTATCTTTAATTTAAGAGATATTGTCCTATTAATTAGAAAATTTTGACTATTAATTTTAATTATTATTATAAAAATGATAATGGCAAGTACATTAGATTATTTAGATATAAGAATGAAAGGTAGAACATAACTCTAACATGAAATTTAATGTACTATAAGTCTATAATGTAGGTGCCTCAATCTTTTTACCTTCCAATTGATTAAACACACATTGATTGTTAATAAGGCATTTTGCTATAATCAACTACTCGTCAAAAAAAAAGAAAATCAACTTAAAGAGAAAAAAATAAATGAATTTTGCTCGATATTATAGTATGTTAATAATGGATCATAGATTAGTGCTAACAGATTGATTGAGTCTTAATTGAGCTTAGATAGATCTAATGATTTCTTGTGAGATCATTTAGCAAAACAATTATATTAGTCCTTGACTCCTTGAGAAAGATTGGTACTACCTCCATTACCCATCAAAAATTTATTTGGAGTAGATAATTTAATTGGGAGTGTAATTATTTTTATTAATTAATTAATAATAATAATAATAATAATAATAATAATAATAATAATGAATCTATATTTCTTTACCCTATTGGTCTGATAAAAGGGTAAAATATAAAAGTATATTAAGTATTAGATTTTTTTTTTTAAAAAAAAGAGACCTTTGATATAAGTATATATGGATCTATCACACATTGCATTGTTTCAAGTCTTTAAGTGAATTGTAAGTTTGTAACCATGGTATGATGGTAAATAATTGGTAATCATATAATATAGGTTGTTATCAGTTTTTCATAATTTTATCTTGAAGATCAACAAAGTCAATTGTTAAGAAATTCATTTATTTGTTCATAAAGTATGCATTGCAATTTGCAAAGCTACATATATACACCTTATACAGTATGAGAGATGCTGTTGTCAAAAAAAAAAAATATATATATATATATATATATATATATATATATATATATATATATATATATATATATATATATACAGTATGAGAGATGAAAAATTAAACCTAAACCTAATAATTTGCATACCGATCATATCTCAAAATTTAGTATTTTTGAAAACATTGTATACTTCATAATTATTTCAATCTTATTTTTATTTTTTATTTTTTATTTATTTTATTATTTGTTTAAAAAGTTTTTTATAATTTGAACCCAACAACGTTTACATATATACGTTGTATATATGAATATGCTTTCTTGATATGATGGTGATGTGTTAGTTTTATAGCCTTTCCTTTTTCATACATGCCATAATTTTATATTTCTATTTAAGTTTCAAGCTAAAAAATCAAGAAAATAAATTCCTAAATTTTGGTGAAAATATAAGATATATATGTGAAATTGTTTGATAGATTGCTAGAATTGTTTTTTTTTTTTTTTTTTTTTTTTTTTTTTTTTTTTGTCGAGCGTGCAATATTGTGTTATTGTAAACAAAACAAAACAACCAAAAAAAAATCCTTAAGTTTCTAGTTGTATTATATTGTTTAATGGCCCAGATAAAAAGCTATTCTATATCAATAGAACAACTGTATACCAAGATACAAGTACTTAGTCGACGACTCAGATCAATGTGGAAATCGATCTACTAGTAACTAGAAATGTAAGGTCAATTCGACATCATTGTAGTTTTAGTTTTTTTTTTGTTAATATTGAAAGTCTTATGATTAATTTCATAATAAGAATTAAAAAAAAAGTCCATATCACATTTTGTAGTTTCCTTTTTTGTTTTTTGATTTTTTTTTAAAAAAAAAAAAAGACAAAAGAGTCCATAATTATTTTTATTTGAGTTCAAGTCCATTGAAAAACAATTAAAAGATATGGTTATTTTTACTCAGTACGGAGTACTATTTTGAAGGGTTGTTGATTTATTGGTTGTCCGGGGCTCCCAAAATGACGGTCATTCGTAGCATTCGACAAATAAAGAAAGTCAATCAACAAATATCGTAGTATAAGAGAGTCTAAGCTACCTACCTATACAATTAAGAGTTAAATTAAATCATCTCAATTGTGTGTAAATGTATGATAAAGAGGAGAAAAAGGTAAACTTTTTACGATCTTACATGCGCTAATAGGCTAGGATTCAAACTCGTGACCTGAATTTCACTAAAAAAAAACAAGAGGAGATAAATATAATATATAGGGAATTTTGTGTAGAACTACCCTAAAGATAGAGTCATTTGTGAACAACTATCCATTTTTTTTTATTTGTTTAGAACTACCCGCAAGTTTGGAAAAGTTTGGGTATCATTACCCACTAACGTTTTTCGTCCCATTATATTAAAACGTTAAATTGACCCAGTTTTTTACTTTTTTCAATTACAATAGTCAATTAATGCTAAAATAAGCAAAAACCCCAATTCAATTAAACCCCAAAACCTTAGAAATTAAAATCCCCAAATAATACTACACTCATGAACCCTAAAATAAATTATGATTAAAACCTTAATTAGGTTAATTAAGGTAAATCAAAACCTTTATACAAATTGGGAGAGTTAATTGGGTGGCAAAAGTGAAAAAGTGAGCTCCGATAACATCTTAATTGGACGAAAAAATAT